TATAAATTTGTGATAAGTAGAAACTTACTTTAAAGATATATAATTAAAATTTTATAACATTTTATTTTAAGAACTATCCAATTCACCAAATAATTGCTTTAGCATTTTCACATTTCTTCGCAACTATAATATTAAGAAAATTAAAATACTTACTTAGCACTAATGTTTTTGGATTTCTATATATTCCATGTATTTATTCAACGACAAAAGTAAAATACATGGAAAAATTATGATAAGTAATCTTAATTTTTTTTTAAAATTTTTTGATAGTTAAAATACCAACAGTTTTTTCTTTGAAAAGAAAAACTCCAAAAATCTAAAAGTATAAAATGAATCTTTTGTATAAAATTTAATAAAAAAGTATTAAAATGAATTCTATTTGTTATAAATTTAATAATTTTTATAATAAAAATAGTTAAAACAAAAAATTTATAACTATGTAATATACTTTTTCCCCATGAAGAAAATTTATATAACAAATCTTAAAGGTACCACGATAAATAATAATGCGTTATTCCATTGAAAAGAAAAACTCCAAAAATCTAAAAGTATAAAATGAATCTTTTGTATAAAATTTAATAATTTTTTATAATAAAAAATAGTAAAACAAAAAATTTATGAAATGAATATACTTTTTCCATGAAAAAATATATAAAAATTTAAGTACACGATAAATAATAATCGTATCAATAAAATTAATAATTATATTAATAAAATTAATTTTAAATGAAAAAATATTAAAGGCGAGGCCCACAACAAAATGCGGGCAATTTCATTAGCTTGTATAGTTCTAATTTATTTACAATTTTATAAATACTATATTATTTTCAGTCAAACAGATTTAGAATATAATAGAAAATATTAAGAAAATTAAAAATATTTAATCATCAAGAAGTCATTTATTTATTTAAGGGAGATATAAATATCTTACTAAATTAAAGTGATAGCAGTTACAAATTAATTTAGTAATAAAAAAAATAAAAATTAAAAAAGTAAATAATGCTAGAATCTAATTTTGTTACTCTATTTTTCTAAACTGCAAATTTAAAATAAAAAATAGGTTAATTAATTAATAAAAAAGATGATATAGAAAAAATGTTTAGTCCTCACTGAATAAACCTTCAATTTCCGACAATCATACAGAAAAAGAAGAATATACTTTTTTCTTTTTCATTTATACATGTATTTATTTAAAAAATAATTTTAAGAAATTAAATCCAATCAAATAATAAAATGTAATTTTTTTGTCTTAACCACTAAATGCTACTCACACTAGGTCGGTCTAAGAAGGGGTAAAGTGCTCACGGCTAATATTTACTCTATCCATGAAAATCAAACCCTCGATCTCACTTAAGGGAGAAAAGTGCTGAACCACTCATCCAAACACTTATTGATATAAAATGTAATTTTTGAATTGACTACGGCTAAGGCTATTTCAAGAAATTTTAAATTTCACTAACGGTGATATCGAAAATCTCATTACCCCTCTATTCCCACATTTATATATAGTACTAGTCTTTTGTATCACGTGTGTTACATGTTGAATATACTCGTTATATACTTATTTTTTATCTATCTATATATATATCATAAGTTTTGTTTAGGTTAAAATAAATACAAGTGGTTAATTTGTATTATAATTTACCGTACAAATTACTTGCAATGTTATTTATTATATATTTAATTCTATTTTTATATATACCACAAATTACTACTGCAATGTTATTTATGGATAATATGTTCAATTCCTATTTTTTATATAATGAAATAAATACAAGTGGTTAATTTGTATTATAATTTACCGTACAAATTACTTGCAATGTTATTTATTATATATTTAATTCTATTTTTATATAATGAAGTGATTTTAGAACAAAGTTCAACCCAATCCTGAGAACTAATCCTTTAGTCCATAATCCTAATAGGTGTTCAAAAAAAAAATCAAGTCATCACTTAATCTCCAACCCCGTGTTCTAAATCCCAAATCAATATCTATATATAACTATAATGAAGAATAATAATAAATTATTTTTACTACTAGGTCAAAGAAAATAAATGAGAAAATGATCTGAATTGATAATGGAAATCACTTTGACTATAGTGACAGTATTATTTACCTAGTATATTAGACAAAGGAATATATGCACATACATATAGATTCTTGAAATCCAAAAAGTCACCAAAATATAAATATATAGTTCTAGTTTTTTTTCTTTCAGTTTCCTAAACACTATTTTCTTTTAAGTCAAACAGATTTAGGATATAAGAGAAAAAAATATCAAGAAACTTAAGATTGCTTAACCATCAATAGGCCATCTATTTATTGCAAGGGTTTTATTGCAAGGGAGATATAAATCTTCTTTACTAAATTAATAATTAATTAATTATGTTTATTCAAATTATTCAGCTAACAAAAAAAAAGAAAAATTATTATTAAGAAATAAAAAAACTCCTTCTAAAACTCACCTAATAAATAAAAAAAACGTTTTTAAATGTATACTTTGATATATAAAATTATATCCAATTTAAAATTTTATTATATACTAATACTTACATATACTCTATATATTTAATTAAAATTGAATCTTACTATCCTTATGTTTAATTCATTATAAATTCTATTTGAAAATATTTACTGTTCTAAAACATAATATCCAATCAAATATGACAGAAATATAAAAAAACCTAAAAATTATTAATAGTAAATAATATACTTTTTTCTTCTTTTTTTTTATCTCTCTCCTAAACAAAATATTATATTTTTTAAAATAGTTCTATTTGAAGAATTTATTTTTTTTAAAATAAATATAATTCCTAAACATAAAGAAAAAAATAATATTAATTAAAAAAGCTCTATATTTTTCTCTTTTTTTATTCCTATATTCTTTAAATCATAATTAAAGATAGTAATAATATGAAATATAAAAAATTTTCAAGATGTACTGTTATCATATATCATTTCATCTAAAAATAAATTTAGCTCAAATATTAAAAATTTTTAAATTTTGATAAATGCTTAATTCATATTTTTATTATATTTATTAAAAATTTATTTTTTTGATTCCATTAAGAGACCGTATATGGCCGAAATAATATTTTCCGGCTACACAACCAAATCAAATTTGATAAACTCACCTAATTTAAAAAAAAAATGTTTCAACGGTTACTATATAACTATTATAAATAGTATTAATCAAAAATATTATTTTTTTTTAAAATTTAAAATTTTTATACTGTTTACCCATATTCTAGTGGTTTCAAAAGTAAACGTTCTATTTGAAAAATTTTACCTTTTCTAAAATAATTTAGTATTTCCAATTAAATTCTTAACCAAACAGTAAAAACCCCAAAAAATACTTAATAAACAATAATATACTTTTTTCTTTTTTATCTTCTCTTCCCTAAATAAATAATTATTATAACTTATAGAAATTTATTTTTAAAAAAAAATATTCCTCCACAATTCTATATCATACACAACTCATTTAAACGAAAAAAAATATTTTCTTTTTCTTTGGGGTTTATAGCATATATTTTCCTATAAATAGAATGTAAATTATTTAGAATAATAAAAACCATATAAAAAATTTAATAATTTCTCCAATTGTCATATTATATTTCATTAAAAAATAAAAAAAAGAAAAAAAAATTTATGAAATTTTTGAAATGTTGTTAATTATTAATATTTAATTTATTAATAATTTTTATTTCATTAGACACGCTGTTCTACTGATAGGCCTGATAAATAAACTGGGCTACACAATTATCAAATGGTGAAAATGCTGGGAGAGGATCGAACAACCACTCTCACATAAGAAAAAAAACCACCTATGATCGGCCTGAAAATTAATTTTTATAAATATATTATCCTCCAGTCAACTTAATCTCCAAACTGTTAATTTATTAATTAATTTGTCATTAAGGGTTGCTTTAGAAATATTTTAAATGCGTGATATAAAAAATCACATTATTACTCTGCTATTTTTCACTCATTTATATATAATATAGATAGATAGATATATAGGAAGATAGATATTATATTCATTAAAAAATAAATTTAATAAAGAAAAAATTTAAAATTTTGAAATGTTTAATTATTTATATTTATTTATTTAATAATTTTTTTATTCATTAGAAGGTCTGATAGGCCGAAATAACACTTTGGGCTACACAATAATCAAATTGGTGAAAATGCTTGTGGTTGAGAGGATTCGAACTTGATATCTTTCACTCTTCACATAAGTAAGAAGATAATTAGATCGCACATGATTGGCTGAAAAAATAATTTTTATAAATTATATCCAATCAACTAATAAACTGTAATTTTTTAATTAATTGTCATTAAGGGTGCTTTAGAATATTTTAAATGGTGATATAAAAAATCACATTATTCTCTCTATTTTCACTTTTATATATAATATAGATAGATAGATATATAGATAGATATACATATAGATATTTTAAATTAATTTATAAGAAGATAATTAAGTCGCATGTGATTGACTGAAAAAATAATTTTTATAAATTATATTTAATCAACTAATAAACTGTAATTTTTAATTAATTGTCATTAAGTGTACTTTATAATATTTTAAATGGTGATATAAGAAATCACATTATTCCTCTCTGTTTTCACTTTTATATATAATATGGATAGATAGATATATAGATAAGTATAGATATAGATATTTTAAATTAATTTATAAGAAGATAATCAGATCGCACGTGATTGGCTGAAAAAATAATTTTTATAAATTATATCCAATCAATTAATAAAATATAACTTTTTAATTAATTGTCGTTAAGGGTACTTTATAATATTTTAAATGATGATATAAGAAATCACATCATTCGTCTCTATTTTCACTTTTATATATAATATGGATAGATAGATATACAGGCAGATATAGGTATAGATATAAATATTTTAAATTAATTTATTTTCCGCAAATAAATGGACCCTAAAATTGAAAATAAAATAAGTCTGCAACGAGGCAGGGTCTCATCTGGTCTGGGTTTTGAAGCCTTTCCCAAGAAAAGTTTGGGAAGCCCAAATGCTACAAATCCCCCCAATTTCGCCCATTGATGGCAATTTGGCGCCATCTACGCCACTCGAAAAGTCATATTTCATTGTGAAGTCGAAGCAGTAGCACACTAGCGCCAAGCGGAGAAGAACACAACGCCAGACACCAGGCAATAATGGTATTCCTCCATCATCAAATCCCTTCCCGGAAGAGACATTCTTTGTCCTCTGCCTCCACCCTCCCTCCAACGAAATTCCCCAAATCCACTGCTGATGAACCTTCATCTTGTTCAGAAAAAAATGGCCCCATTGATAAAATGTTGTGTGTTCTGGCAGATGCAGGCTGTACACTGAACAATCCCTCGGGCCCGCCCTGCCTTCCTGCTAATCTCTACAAGCTCCGCTCCCATCTCGACCGCCTATTTTCTGCTTCAGAAAATGGAGCTGCTACGCGCTCTCATTTCCTTGCTGGTTTCTCTTCTTACATCGACTCTCCCAAAAATCTTCAGAGGTCCGTGTATTAGACTTACATTTCATAGTATTTTTATTTTTAATAATTATTATTGAGAAAAAGGGTAGGCAACTGATTTTGTTGTTTGGACTATTCATAGGGTTTTGGTTTCTTCGAACCAATACTGCAGTAGTGAAAGCTTACTGCGACAACTTTTGCTGGTTCCGGCCATCCAATTGGACCTTCAAATGTTGCTTCTGCAGAAACTTCCTGAATATTTTGATGTGCATCCTGAATGTTCGCTCCAGGACGACTCCGCTCGACTTATCGTTAATCAATTTCGATGGCTTGATTTTATGGTTGATTCTAATGCTTTCTGCGATAAATTGATGCAAGTTCTTTCTATTTGCCCTCTACATTTGAAGAAAGAGATTATAGGATCATTGCCCGAGATAATAGGTGATCAAAATACTAAGGCTGTAGTTGATTCCCTTGGACAAATGCTCCAGGAAGATTCTTCTGTCATAATTTCGGTGCTTGACTGTTTTTCCAACCTTAACTTGGATGAGATTTTGCAAGAACAGGTTCTTTATTTTTACCCTTTCTTTATTAACATCTCTCCTCATAAATTCTTATGTTTTATTATTGAACCTCTATCCTCTCTTTCTAGGTTGTTACTATAGCAATGTCTTACATTAGGACAATTGACGGAGAACACATGCCTTATTTACTTAGATTTTTACTACTTTCGGCAACCTCTCAGAATGTTCGAAGAATAGTGTCGCAGATTCGGGAGCAGCTTAAGTTCATAGGGATATCAAATTCTCATTCAATCCAGCACAAAAAACTCAAGGGAAAATCACCCTTGGGCAATAATACAGAGGCTTCTGTTCTTGATGCCTTAAGAACTAGTCTTCTATTCAAGAATGTAAGTCCGCTGTACTGATTTTAGCTTACAAGTGAGTAATCTTATTGATCTCCTCTTTTTGTATTTGCTGTTATAATTAGATGCTACGCCAAGAGATTCTGAAAGAATTGATCAGCCTTGAGAGGCCCCAGGATCATAAGGCCATAGACCTGTGGCTTCTTGTGTTGTTATACATGAATGGCGAAACCATGCAAAAGAACATTCAGAAGGTTGTTAAGAAGAAAGTTGTTGATAATTGTATCCAGAAAGTTATGGTTGACCAGTGTATTTGTGGGAATAAAGAATTGGTACAGGTATATGCCATATTACATGGAATGAATTATCAGCTTCATTCTAATGACTATTTGAATCATATTAGCAATTTGGGATCTCCTTTTTGTCTCATTATTTTTATTATTTATTCTTTATCAGGATTGTTTCCTGTCCTTCCTTTCTCTATCGGAGTACTTATTGGCACGCAGAGAACAGAAGGCTAGGGAGTTTGGCGCTCACATTTATATTTGTCTGTTTGAAGAGTTAGGAGATACGTACTGTAGACAGGAAGTAAGCAGCTCAAAGAAGTAGTTCTTATTTTTTAGCTGGTGACTGTTTGGAGTCTCATTCCAGCATCTTTGCAGGTTCTTAGTGCACTTATAACTCATCTTGGATCTGGAGTTAGCTTTGAAGTGAATTCTGCTCTGGAGGTCTTGGCTTTGCTAGCCTCCAAATATGCCCAAGAGTTAATTCCACTTACTACGCATATAAATGGTAGCTTAACCATTTCATGTTTGGCATGCATATTGATTTGTTGGCCACTTGGTTCCCTTAATTGTTTTAGGCATGCGTGAGAAAAGAATGTTGTGATTAGTTGCCAATATCTATTTCTTGCATTCTATGTTTTCAGGTATATTGGATTACTTGGAGGGATTTAGCATTGACAATCTACACAAGGTGGCTGCTACTTAATGGACCATAATTATTAATGTCACTATATGTTCATATGTTGACTGTTCGTAAGTCATGCCAGTTTCACACATGGCATTTCCCCCATGTAGGTTTATGAAATTTTCAGTCACCTCACACTGTTTGCTCGATCTACTACTGAATGTTTTGGATCTTCCTTTGGAAGTGAGGTTTTAATGATAGTACGAAAGCAGGTATCTGGAATTATGCCTAAACATTGCTTTCTTTACTCTCTGCTCTAAACACTTCTTTTTTTGTTCACTTAATATCTTTGTTTTATGGTGTATTCATTGTCTTGGCTCCCATTTGGTAGGTCAACCATCCTGATCTGAAGTACAAAAAGATGGGTCTAATTGGAACTCTAAAAATAATTTCCTGTCTTGCAGATGCAAATGAAGTTAGTAGTACATCAGTTCAGGTGGGCATAATATCATCTCTACTTTGCAATTGTAGCACTTTGTGGTTATGCTATTTATTTATTATTTCTGAACTAGTCCAAGCTTATACTGTCCAAGACATATTTTGGTAATTTATTGTTGGACCTATCAGAGATTAAAAAAAAAAAAAAGAAAAATGAAAACATCAATTTATGAAAGAGCAACTTGCTTTGACAATTTTTTTAATTAGGCTGCAGAAAGCAAGTGGAACTTTCAACACCGTGCTACTAGTTATATTTATGTTCTTAGGACTCCAATATTGGCTTTTTTGAATAATGGATAAAGGTAAAAGCATAGGCATTGTTTTGCTTTTCCAAAAGAAATACTGTCTTAGCACTTAATATTGCATGGATTAATATACTAATGAAATCTAGATTGTTTATACTGAGTGCAGGACTAGTAGCAAGTGGCCAGATTGTTGATATTTATTGTCTTAATGCAATAACCACCTACATTATGCACATTGAATGTGTATTGATGCAAATTTGACATGGGTGACTGACTTAGAAGTTAGGGCTAGGGTTTGTAGAAATCACAAACTAGGGATTTAAAATTAATATGGCAGATCTGGTTTTCTCTAGAATACAACAACAATAACAACTAAGTCTTAGTCCGAAAATAGTTTTGGGTTGGCCATATGAATCTTTTGTTTCCAGTATCCACTCTGATCAAATTAATATCAATGCAAAGCAAAGTATAAATCGGAAAGACTATGAAATCATTTGATATATTAATATGAAGGGGAATTTTCAAATCATTTGATATATTAATAAATAGAACAACGCATATAATAGGCAACAACTAATTAGGGTCTGCTACATAAATCTTTTATCTCCATTGATTTATCTCCATTTTGCTCTATTCGTAGCTATATCTTCACTAATATCCATAGACCATACAACATCCCTTCAAGCAGTTCTAGGTTGACCTCTTCCATTTTCAGCACCTTCCATTACCAAAATATCACATTTACCAACAAGTACATATGAGAGTCTATGTAACACATGACCGTACTATCTCAGGCATCATTTTCTCATTTTTTCTTCAACTTTCGTTACTTGCTTATTTTTGTCTAATGTGATCATTCCTAATCTTGTCCAACCTTTTGCCATCACACATCCATCTCAGCATTCATATCTCCAAAACATTCATTTTGTGAACATGTTGAATAATAAAATAAAAATTGAACAAACAAAAATAAACTATTAGCATCACACTAATAGGATACTTGACAATCTTGTCTGTTGCTACCCACTAGCATCACACTAATAGGATATGGGACTATCTTGTCTGTTACTACCTGTTAGGGACTATCCGTAAATAGAGTTCTATTAGGAGTTAGATTCCTACTAGGTTTATAGTATCTTGTATATGTATATATTGAAAGTGTTTGAGGATTTGGAATTCTTGATGATTTGTATTGATGTACAAGACCCTTTAAATAGGGAGAATACAAACAGAATATGGAAAGGAATTTCTTGATGATTTGTATTGATTACAAGACCCTTTAAATAGGGAGAATACAAACAGAATATGGGAAAGGGAATTTGCAGAGATTAATTACAGGAAATTAATTGTATCTGTTCTAAAATAGAGGAATGATTTCGTTGGAGAATTATCATTCGGTAAGACTCCCCGCAGTTTGAGCGGGCGGAGGAAAAAAGACGCTCAAGCTGGGATCGAAAGAAACTGGAACACCATGTCCCGAGATAAGGCCTTGGTGAAGAATGTCAGCATATTGAAAGCAGATGGGAACATGTAGACCTGAATGTGGCCTATTCGAACTTTCTCCCTTACAAAAGTGTATGTCGATCTCAATGTGTCTTTGTGTGTTGATGCTGGACCGATTGTTAGACATATACACTGCGGAAACATATGTCACATAACGACGGAGGCCTAACTGAAAGTGGGAGGTGTAATTCCAGAAGTAAATTGGCGAAGCCAGGTGGCTCTAGCAACAGCCATTGGGCTACTCCTCTATATTCTGCCTCTGCACCTAGATCGTGAGAATACGTAGGCTGCCGTTTTTGAAGAACCATGAAATCAAATTATTATCACAAAGAAAACACAGTAGCCACGTAGTTGATCGCTGGAGTCTGGGCATCCACCCCAATCTGCGTCTGAGTATGCTACCAAAGGTATGTGTATTTTGGTCTTGCCAATTTCTTAATACCGTATCATGTCCTTGTAAATATCGGATTATTCTTGTTGAGAAAGGCATAGTGTGGATTCCCGCGGTTCCATGGATGAAGAGGCCATATTTGTTTGACAACATATGATATATCTGGGCGTGGGAATGTGAGATTACTGTAATGGCGGCCAAGCAAGACTGCGGTATAAATGTTGGATCATGGAAAGAAGGTCCATCAGAAGCACTTCAGTTTTGAATTGATAGATCGACTGGGGTGGACAGCGGTTTGCAAAGGGACATTGAAGCTCTGGAGAATGATATCTTTGTGTATTTGAAGACTGGATCCAAAAATAACCCAGCAGATGTCCCGTGTCACTTTGATTCCCCAGGAAATGATCCCCACCGGCCCAAATCTGTCATTTGCAAAACTTCTAGCTGAGAGCATGCGGATAATAATTCCTGTAATAACTCAATTAGAAAGAGGCAGTGAGCAACTATACATCAACATACAGAAGTAAATAAGCAAGCGATTTCCCTTTGAGAAAATGAATAGGAGAAATTGTTCACACACACTGCTGCGAAACCCCATGAGACAGGAGATGGGTTTGCAAATCTGGTGTACCATGCCCATGGCGCCTGTTTGAGCCCATAAGAAGGGATTTTTTCACATCTGCACACAAATGAGGGTATCTTCTATTCTGTGAAACCCGGGGGGATGCATAAACAGTTTCATTTAAATCGCCCCAGTAAAACGCGTTTTTTGACATCCAACTGGTGTATTGGCCAAGAACGGGGAAACTGGGCAATGGATAACACAGTCCGGTATAGTAGCGGGTTTTCACTACGGGACTAAAAGTATCGTCACAAGTCAATGCCCCACCGTTTGGATTTTTGCCACTTTACCACCAACGTCCATTTACCACCAAACGTGCTTTGTACCTTTGAAGTGACCCATCTGATTTAAATTTGTGACGAAAAAGCCACATACACCGAATGACCGGTCGGTCAAGAGGGCGAGGCACGAGTTCCCATGGATTATTTTCCTACAAAGCATGAAACTCAGCCTGCATAGCATTTAACCAATGAGGGTCAGAAAAAGCTTTTGCATAAGAGGTGGGTATTGGTGAAATTGAGGTGGTCATAAGGGCATGGCGAGCTTTGGAGCGAGTGGTCATTGGATGGGTATTCTGTGCGGGTTTTGATACAGCGGTGGTCTGAGTGTTGGGATTTTGTGAGATAGGTGCAGCAGTGTGTTGGGGTGTCGTAGCATTGGCCACTGGGTTAAGGGGCTGTTGTTTATGGTGGCGGGTGTATATTATGGGGTAAGGAGGGATTGGGCGTTTTTGGGTTTGGGTGGTGTTTGGTGTTGGGTGAGGTTGTATAAACTTAAATCCTAGTGGTGGTTGTTCATCAAGAAATGTGTATATTTTGGGTGGAGTTGGAATGGTGTATGGGAAAGTTTGTTCATCAAAGGTTACATGTCGTGATACGTGGATCTTCCCGGTTGTAGGGTCAAAGCATCGGTATCCCCTAAAATCTAGAGGGTATCCAAGGAAGATGCATCTAACGGATCTTGGGTGTAATTTATGGGGTTGGGTTGCGGAGGTATTGGGATAACAAGCACACCCGAACACACGTAAGTGATCGTATGTCGGGTGGCGGAGATGCGAATATAAGGCAAAAGTTGGTGTGAATATAATTGGAGACGTTTTGGTTGGATAGGAATGTTAATGGAGATAGGCAAGCAAGTGTGAAGTTGCTCAAAACATAGGTGGTAATTGAGCATGGATGAGGAGTGAGCGGATGATGTCGTTGAGACGACGAATCATGCGTTCAGCCCGACCATTTTGGGAAGATGTTTGGGGGCATGAAAAATGGAATAACAGACCATGTTGTTGGGCAAAAATTTTGAAGTTATGGTTGTCAAATTCTCCCCCCAAGTCACATTGAAAAGTTTTGATATTGCGGTTGAATTGGGTGGCTATGAGTTTATGGAATTTAGTAAAGGTGGTGAAAGTTTCAGATTTGAACTTGAGAGGGTATACCCACACATAATTGGAAAAATCATAAATTGGAGAATTATCACAATTAGCACCATGTAGTATTTATATCCAGATTTGGTTGGAAATAGGGGAGGTCCACAAGTCACAATGTAATTTTATCAATGGTGAAAAAGTAAAGGAATTTGACTCATAAAAAGGTAATCGTTTTGCTATTAGAATAAATGACAAGAATTGCAAAAAAAAAATAAATGCTTTGTTCTTATTACAAGGAAGACAACACTGTTTGGTTAACCCATCTAAAACTTGTGTGCAGGGTGACCGAGGCGATCGTGCCAAGGTAAATTTGGCGATTGTGATTGAACAAGCTTGTGGTGGTAGTGTTTGGTGAGTGACAGGATAGAGATCTCCGTACTATTGTGGTGAAAGGAGCTGTCCCATTTTGAGGTCCTTCAAAGAGAAACCAAAAGGGTCAAATTCAAACAGAAATATTTGTTATCACGTTAAACGGCGGACAGATAAATTTTTAATGATATGTGGGCTGTAAAGTATGTTTGGGAGGATGTATGTACGGTTAAGGATGGGAAGGTAACCTGTTCCTGAGCCCTCAATTGGTAAATAGTGTCCGTTGCCGACTAAAAGTTTAGTGTTAACAGGAAAAGAGTCAGGGTTGTGAATCATACCTCGGTTGTCGGTGACATGACGTTCTGCCCCTGTATCCATGATCAGATTTGGATCTGTGTAGTTGAGTTGCATCGTGTTATAAACTTGGCTGAGATCGGAAGGACTTAAAGCATCATATCCAGTATGCGGTGGAGGGGGATATGGTGGTGCTGGGCCGTATGGCTGC